GATCAGTCTGGAAAAAGAGAAAGAAGATTCTGAATGCCACAAAGAAAAGTTTGTTGGTCAAGTTGTGAGCCTAGGTGATTGAGGTGAATTAGGAGAACAAGGAAGCCAAGAAGAGGAACGGGTTTTAGGTGAAAGATAATGAGTCCTGCTCTGGGCATGCTGAATTTGAAATGCCTATGGGACACCCAATTCAAAATGCCCACTAGGTAATATGTGCCTATAGCTCAGGAGACTAGTGCTAGATAAAGAAATCTGGGAATCACCTACACAGAGATGATTAATTAAAACCCATCGGAGCTGATGAGATCACCAAATGAGATAATATCGAGGGAAAAGAGAAGTGGGCCCAGGACAAAGTCTTGGGAGACATCCACAGTAGTGGCCGTGACATGGATAAAGATCCAGCCAAAGTGGCTGACGAACAGCGGTCAGACAGGTGGAAGGAGATCCAACAGAAAACGAGATCATGAAAACTCAACAGGAGAGAGGACGTGGGAGGCGAGGGGGGTCAACAGTGTCAGATGCTGCAGAGGAGTCGAGAAGAATCAGGAAAAAGGCCACGTGCAGATCACTGTACTTTGGACAGGGCAGTTGCAAATGAATGATGACAGAAGCCAACTTGCAAAGGGCTCAGAAGAGAGAGGAGGAAGAAGAGGCACTGAGTATAGATAGTTTTCTCAAGGAGTTAGTCAAGAAGGGAAGAACAGACATAAAACAACAGCGAGAAAGGGGGCTGAGACCAAGGGAAGGTTTCTTAAGGATGGGGGAGGCAAAGACATGTTTGTAGGCAGCAGGGGAGCAGGCAGTAGATAGGGAGGGTCTGAAGAGAGAGAGTGCAGGGCAATGGCACTTGGAGAAGAAAGGAAGGGATAGGATCAAGGCTCCACGTAGTGGGGTTGGCTTGGCAAGAAGGGCAACCTTTTCCCCAGAGATCGGACCACGTGAGGAGAGAGTGGGGCATATAGGAGGTGGAGTCCAAATTATGTCAAAGAGATGGTCTGAGGGGAGAGGTCTTCAGCCTCAATTTTTTTTTAGCAAGATCCTCAGATGAGATGGTAGGGTAAGGGGATTATGTAGAAGGCTTGGGAAGCAATGACAACATCTGCAACAGCAGACTAGGAGAATAGAATAGGGAATTGATTTGGGAACAACAGAATGTTTGCCATGCTTCAGTGAGAGGCCCATTGAGATTAGGGAACATAAATTTGTAGAGGACCCAGGCAGCATGGTTTCATGATTTCTTCTAGCTCCATCCAATAGCAGACAAATAGGAACAGAGGAGGCAGATGGTGGGAGTGATCTGGGGCAGGGCATTGACAAGGTATGAAAAGAGGCGAGGGATTTGAGAACAGATAATTTAAAGGTGGTTCACCAAGGAATTGGGAAGAGAGAAGCATATAACTAGTTCAAGGTTCACGGTCTGCAAAAGAATGGAAGGAAAAGATATGAAGGATCATGGTAAAGATGAAAAAAGGGTTGTGTGGCATAGATAAAGACGGAATGATAAAATATAAGACCAAGGAATTCTGAGACTCCAGAAACAAAGAAGTAGAACACTCAATGATGATGGCAAGGTCAAGAATATGACTATTTCCATATGTAACTGCTACAGAGTGGAGGAGTAGGTTACAGCAATTGAAGGGACTGCAGAACTGAGAAGTTGGGGTATTTGAGGGATTATCTTTATGTATGTTGAAGTCTCTTAGTATGAAGGCAGAAGTTAGAAAGGAGAAAAAGATTGTGAGGCAGGCACTAAGATCATGTGAGGAAGGAAAGAGGATGTCCTGGAAGCTGACAGGCAACATCAACTGGGATTTAAACTAGGTATTCCAATTTTGGCATCATGAAGATCACAGGAAGACAGACTGCTTAGTGAAGGCGGCAGAGGAAGGGTCTAGAAGTGGTAGTGAGAAGGAAGAAGTATTCTGACTCATTCACAGGACCAATGAGTTAGGGCAGCATGAGAGAAATGCAGCCAGTATTGGAAAGGGTAGTGAAGAAATTACTGTTACCAGGAAGAAGCTATGCCTCATTTTAGCTTATAGGGAGTCACTGAAGTTTTTTGAGCAGGTAAGTGACATGATTAGAGTTAAGCCTTAAGAATGTCACTGCACAGCTCTGTAGGGAGGCTGAACTGAAGAGGGGAGAGACTAGAAGTAGAGAGAATAATTAGGAAGCAACAGGTAATAAGGGGCTAGCCTAAGGCTCTGGCTAAGTACATAGGGAAAGGGACAGATACCAAAGATGGTGTAGACTCAGTAAGACTTGGCAAATACCTGGATATGAGGGAAAGCGAAAAGTTAAAGCATGACAGGTGCACAGCCCATACATTCTCCATGCACACAAGATACCAGGATCTTTGCAATGCCATTTGATCAGTATATGTTCAACATCAGTCCTGCGCCATATTTCTCATCACAATCAGCCAATGCCATTGAGGATTCAGGGAACGCAAAGGGAGGTAAGGTACATATGGCTTCAGCTCGATCAAGGACAAAAAGTACAAAAAATACAAAGCATCACCCTTACCATTACTTACCTGTACAACATAGCCCGAGTGACATTTGAAGTCGGCGGGCTGAGGAGCCCCGTTTACTAAAACATGTCCAGATAATCCACTTGGGTCTTTCCTGGCAGCTAAGACATCTAATAATCTGTAAGGAAAAAAATGTTGCGCTAAATCCTTAATAAAGGGTTAGAGTTACTTTTTACTTAATAAGACATAAGTATAAATCTGATATTCTGTATCCATTAAGAAAAGTCAGCTAATCAATAATCCCAAAGCTAAACACTATTGGGAACTAACAAAGAATATGGAAATGTCTATTTTATTTAAACCCTCAACTTCTTTTCTATTTAAATTAATACAATGTAGCACCTTCTAAGACAGCATTATGGCACGATGATCAACAATTTCTTCCTGCTTCGTCTCATCCTGTTAACTAGGAGAGTAAGGAGTCCCTGTTAAGTGATTATAGGCCATCAACGGTATACTTTAGAAGCAGAAAACTGCAATAATGAATAAGGAAAAGCCAGATGCAAAGGAGACTGTTTCCCAAAGTTTCATTTCTGGAGAAATCTAGAACCATGTATACAGGCTAGAGAAACACACAGTAGAACCCTGCAGTGGTATCCTTGTAAGTGTTTAACAACTGGCTCTTTTTTGAAGAGGAGTCATTTAGCCATACTTTAGTCTAGTTTGCATGAACATTTTCTCCATTGGGAGGCACAGCCAAGATGGCAGAGCAGAGGCAGTAAATCAGGTGAACTCTCCCAACATTTCCCTATAAACAATTTTAAAATTATACCTCAAATCAAATTGTGGAGTGGCAGAGCCACCAAAAGGTTAGAGTGAGACATTTTTCCAAGCTAAGACAACTTAGGGAGGTCATCAGAAGAGGTCAGTGACACTAGGGTGGGCACAGGCCAAGAGGGCAGCAGGACACCAGTGGCGGACCTTGAAGGCAGCCACTATAGCAACAGCAGCTTTAGGTACTCTCAGCCCAGAGACAGTGAAAGGGTCAGACAACGGGTCAGAGGGAGAAGACAGGGGACCCTTTGCTGGCTCCGGGTGTAGCTGGCAATGACTGGCAACTCTATTGCTTGTAAGTAAATGTGGCTCATAGCTCCAGGGCCAAAAGGAGTACCTGTAATCAGTCACAAAGGAGCAAGGGCTCTCTCTGCAGTTCCAGGGCCAAGAGGAGCTCCAGTGCTTTAGCTACAGGGGAGCAGTGGCCCTTCCTGGGTAAAGACCAGAGCACTGACCAGGAAAGCACTGATCAAACCTCTCTCTAGGTCACATCACCCTTGGACTAAACAATTGCAGACTCCTAGAACTAGCTCTGAAAACAGCAGTATGAAAAAGCCTGAAGCTTGAGACAGAGTCTCTCCCCCTAACTCACCCCCTAAATGAGCAGAGCCCACCTTTAACATAAAGCTCAAAGTCAAGAAATAGGCTGGAAAAAGGAGCAAAGAAACAAAAAAATAACTTGACCATAAAAAGCTACTATGGTGGCGAGGAAGAAAGACACAAACACAGAAGAAGACAGCAATGTAAAACAGCTACAAGCAAAACCTCAAAGGAAAAAAATGATAATTGGACAAATGCCTAACAAGAATTACTCGGAAGAGTTAAAGAAAGAAGTAAGAGGATAGAAAAAAAAATTGGGGAAAGAAATGAGAGTAATGCAAGAATATTATTAAAAGAAAAATAACAACTTGGTAAAAGTAGCCCCCCCCCCCAAAAAAACTGAAGAAAATAACTTAAAAAATGGAATTGGCCAAATGATAAAAGAAACACAAAACATCACCAAAGAAAAGAACTCTTTAAGAAGCAGAACTGGTCAAATGGAAAAAAACAAGGTACAAAAGCTCACTGAAGAAAATATTTCCTTAAAAATTAGAACTGGCCAACTGGAAGCTAATGATTCCATAAGACATAAAAAACAATAAAACAAAGTCAAAAGAATGAAAAAATTAAATAAAATGTGAAATATCTCATCCAAAAAACAAGTGATCTGGAAAATGAATTGAGGATGGAGGGACCTAGGTGGCACAGTGGATAGAGCTCCGGCCTTGGAATCAGGAGGACCTGAGTTTAAATCCAGCCTCAAACACATGACACTTACTAGCTGTATGAACCTGGACAAGTCACCTAACCCCAACCACCTCAAAAAAAATAAAAAAGAAAGAAAGAAGCAACGGATTGAGGAGAGATCATGTAAGAATTACTGTATTACCAGAAAGCCATGATCAAAAAAGAGTCTAAACATATTTCAAGAAATTATAAAAGAAAATTTCCCTGATACCCCACAACCAGAAGGTAAATTAGAAATTGAAGGAATCCACCAATCACAATATGAAAGAGATCCCAAAAGGAAAGCCTCAAGGAATATTAGAGCCAAATTCTAAGGAGAAAATAGTGTAAACAGTCAAAAAGAAAGTATTTGAATATCATGGAGTCACAGTCAGGATCACACGAGATTTAGCAGCTTCCACATTAAAGAAGCAGAAAGCTTTGTAGTATGACATTCCAGAAGGCAAAGGAACTAGGAATACAAGCAAAAATAACCTACCCAGCAAAACTGAGTATAATTTTAAAGTAGAAAAATGGATATTTAAAGAAAAAGAAGACTTCCAAGTATTCCTGATAAAAGGACCATTTTCTATTCAAGAAAATCTGACATTCAAATACAAAGCTCAAAAGAAGCATTAAAAATTAAATATGAAAGAGAAATCATAAAAGAGTCAATTAAATTAAACATTCCCATATGGAAAAATGATACATATAATTCCTAAGAACTTTATCATTATTAGGGCAGTTAGAAGAGTCTACATAGACTCAGGGCAGGAGTGAGTGAATCATGTTGGGATGATCTAAAAAAAAACAAAAACAAAAAAAGAAGGGGTGAGAAAGAGGAATGTACTGGGAGAATAGGAAAGGGAGAGGTAAAATGGGGGAAATTATCTCACATAAAAGAGGAACACTTTTACAGTGGAGAGGAAATTGGGTAATGGGAGTAGCATGTAATGCTTGAACTTCACTTTTACTGGAATTGGTTCAAAGAGGGGAGAATAGGTATGTACCCATACATACATACATACATACACACACACATAAACACACACACATACACACACACACACACACACACAGCTGGATACAGAAATGTATCTCACCCAACAGGGAAATAGGAGGTGAAGAGGATAAGAATGTGGGGAACGGTAAAAGGGAGGGCAGATTAAGGGAGACAGTGGTCAGAAGCAAAACACTTTTGAGGAAGGACAGAATAAAAAAGAGAGAGAAGGACAAACAGAAGAAAATAGGAAGGAGGGAAATGTGCAGTTAGTAGTCATAATTGAATGTGAATGGAATGAACTCACCCATAAAATGGAAGCAGATAGCAGAATGAATTAGAAATCAGAATCCAACAATACATCCTTTACAATGAACACACTTGAAATAGAAAGACACACACACAAAGTTAAAATAAGGGACTAGAGCAAAATCGAATATGTTTCAGCTGAAGTAAAAAAGGCAAGGATAGCAATCATGATCAAAGTCAAAACAAAAGCAAAAAAAAAAGACTGAACTAAAAGAGATAATCAGGGAAACTACATTCTGATAAAAGGCACCACACTGAAGAAATATAAAAAATTTTGGTCTTTGGCTTAGACAGTCACGGATATTGTTTTATTGTTTATTTGCTAGCCATAATTAATAAATTGATCATTAGTAACCCCAAAAAAATTTATAGCAAGTTTCTCTGACAAAGGCCTTTTCTCAAATATATAGAGAACTGAGTCAAATTTATAAAAATAAGTTATATTAAATTAAAATGCTTTTGTACAAATAAAACCAATGCAACCAATATCAGAAAGAAAGAAAGCTGGGAAACAAATTTTACAGCCAGTATTTCTGATAAAGGCCTTATTTCTCAAATACATAGAGAACTGAATCTAATTTATAATAATACAAGTCATTCCCTAATTGATAAATGGTCAAAGGATACAAACAGGCAGTTTTCAGAAGAAGAAATCAAAGCAATCTATAGTTACATGAAAAAAATGCTATAAATCACTACTGATTAGAGACATTCAAAATAAAACAACTCTGAAGCACCACTTCACACCAATCAGAAATGACAAATGCTGGAGGGCATGAGGTAAAATAGGTACACTAATAAACTGTTGGTAGAGTTATAAACTAGTCCAATTATTCTATAGAATAATTTGGAACTATGCCCAAAGGGCTTCAAAACTGTGCGCTCTTTGACCCAGTAATATGATACTAGGTACAGAGACCAAAGAAAAAGTAACAGGACCTACATGTCCAAAAATATTTATAGCAGCTCTTTTTGTGGTGGCAAAGAATTAGAAGTGAGGGGATTCTCATCAGTTGAGTAATGCCTGAACAAGTTGTGGTTTATGATTGTGATGGAATGTTAGTGTGCTATAAGAAATTATGAGGGGGGTGGTTTCAGAAAAAACATGCCAAGACCTATATGAACTGATGCAAAATGAAGTGAGAAGAACCAGGAGATCATTGTGCAGAATCACCATGATCAACAGTGAAAGACTTCGCTACTCTGATCAATACAATGACGGAAGACAATTCCAAAGGATTCATGATGAAAAAATCCGCCTCCAGAGAGAAAACTGATGAACTCTAAGTGCAAATTAAAGTATAATTTCTCACTGTATTTTTTTATGATGTGGCTAATATGGAAATATGTTTTGCATGATCTCACATGCTTAAGTTATATCATTTGCTCGCCTTCTCAGTGTGTAGGGGAGGAGTAGGATGGACGGAAAGAATTTGGAACTCAATTTAAAAAGAAAGGAATTTTTAAAATAAATAATTTTTTAAAAAGGGAAAAAATTTCTCTATTATTTTCTTAAGTCTAGACAATCAACAAAACAATAAATCAAGCCCTGATTTTTAGCATCTTCTAATTTCCAAGATATAAAGATCTGGCATGACCCTACCTATGGGAAAGATGCATAGGAAGCCCTTTTTCCCAGTTTTGTCAGGTAAATAACTACACAGAAGAAAACTCCCACTGGTGAGAGGGATTAGTTAAAAGGCTCAAAAAAATCACAAAATATCTGCAGGTAACAATATCAGATTTTCTTAACCTGGAGTCCACAGAACTCCAAGGGTTCATAGGTAGATTCTAGGGAGGTCTGTAAATTTGGAGGGGATAACAATTTTACATAATTACTTTTCACTAACCACTAACTAAAATTTAGTATTTCCCTCGGTTATGAATGTAGATGACAAACATTCTGAAAAGGGGTCCATAGGCTTCCTTATAATGACCAAAGGGTTTATGATACATAAAACAAGTTGTGATGCTCTCCATCATAAATATAAAAATCTTCAACCAGAATTCAGATCTAATTAATCATCAGAGAACCTGTGAAGTAATAACTCACATTTACTTAAAATTTACAAAGGACATTCCTCTCAACCACCTGAGAGAAAGGTAATACAAGTCTTAATATCTCAATTTTATAGCTGGGGAAACTGAGATGCAGAAAAACTCAAGTACCTGTCCAAGATTACATGGCCAATAAGTACCAGAGTCATTTGAAACCCATTCCTCAGACTCCACATCCAGCACTCTTTCCACCATATTAAACAACCTCAAACAAGACTTACTATCATCCTGAATGTGAGCAAGTCTGGAATAATAGCTCAACTGTCACTATTCAATCTGATGCCACTGAGTATTCCTAATTATGGAATACATGAAATGTATCCATCTTTCTGGATCTTCCTTTATTTTACATTGAACACTTATTTAAATACTATTTGCAGAACACTGTGCTTGATACTGGGACAAATACAAGCCCTCATGGTCCCCTGGAGAAACTGGCTCTTCCATTATTCCCCTCCCCCTAGCAAAATACAACCAACCACTGTCCTAATTCTTCACTGCAAAGCCTTTATAGGTCAAACCTTGGAGCTGATTACCATTCTTCCCCCCCTCCCCACATCCCTCTAGCATTTCTTTTCCTTTTGTATCATGTTAGCCAATCTGATAGGTGTGAGGTGGTGCCTTGGTGTTCCTTTTAAATTTAACATTTTATTTTTCCCTCAATTACAAGAAAAACAATTTTAACATTCTTTTTTCAAATTCTGAGTTCCAAATTCTCTCCCCTCCTCATTGAGAAGATAAGCAATTTGAAACTGGTTATACATGTATAGTCACACAAAACACATTTCCATTTAAGTTATGCTGCGAAATAAAACTCAGACCAAAAAAAAAAAGAAAAAAAAATAAAGAAAGTAAAGAAAAAGTATCTTCAATCTGCATTCAGGATCCACCAGTTCCTTCTCTGGAGATGTACAGCACCCTTCATCCTAAGTCTTTCAGAATTGTCTTGGATCATTGTATTGCTTAGAATAGCTAAGTTATTCACAGTAGATCATTATACAATACTACTGCTACTAGGTATGAATGTATGGTTCTGCTCATTTCACTTTGCATCAATTCATGTAAGACTGATCTCCATTCTTAAAAAAAAATTAGGAAGTTTATTGGATGGGAAATCAGTATACCTCCAAATCAAGGTTTTCTACCTCTTGGCATCTCTAAGATGTGACACTGGTGACTAATCCATAAACCACACTAGACCTCCAACTATGGGACTGTCTACACTCTACCATTCACAATCCCGGCATCAACAAACTTGCCCTGTGGCCTAGAATTGTTTTTAAATGAGCTTAACTGATGCTTAGCTGATAAGCTTCTTTCCCTTCTTAGAAGTCAACAACAGTTGCTATTGCTTCAAATACATTAGTTTTCTGTTCTCCAACTAGATTGTGGAATATGCAATATTTCCAAGAATATTAGCACAGTACTAAGCACAAAGTGGATGTTAAACTAATACTTAAGGATTGGGGAAGACAATTTTAATATATTTTTATATTAAAAAATTACTATTGTAGATTACATAGATTATTCTAATAGATAAATGTTTTTATATTAAAAAGATTACTCTCATAGAAAGATGTGTTCTCTGCTAGTTCAATACTCACGAAGACTTGCCACCACCTGTGGGCCCCAATATGGCATTGAGGCCTGGCTTCATGATCCCACTATAAAAAAGAACATAACATTGGTTCACTACTTCATTATAAAAAAGTGGTTCCATTAACCTTTTTTTTTTAAGGCAATTGGGGTTAAGTGACTTGCCTAGGGTCACACAGCTAGTAAGTGACAAGTGTTTGGTCTGAGGCCGGATTTGAACTCAGGTCCTCCTGACTTCAGAGCTGGTGCTCTATCCACTGCGCCAACTGGCTGCCCCCAAGAGAGCCATTAGCTTTTTAAAAATGCATTTAAAACATTAATGAGGATCGTGGCTAGGGACACAATGCCTTCTGAATAGAATCCAGGTTTCCCTGACCACCAGAAGATAGCAAGAATGATAAAGAAGAAATCAAGGATGAGGGAAATTTGGTGAATGATCCAGTAGAACTATCAGAGAGAAGAATGGGAAGTGGGAAGAGATGCCAGTATGCCTCTCCCAAAATACTGGAGGGATGTGCTAGAGCAGGCCTGCCAACCTGCAGTCACTTTCAGCCCTCCAGCAATGTAGAGAAAAACATCCTTTGTATGTAAAGGAAATCCTTTTGGCATGGCAAGCTGTGCAGGCATGTACTGGAGTCAGCTCTACCCTACTCACAAGACAATTACTAAATTTTCAGTGTGAGCAGTTACACCTCAGAAACTGGCGAGCATTACAAATCAGGACTTGATTTACTGTACTGTCGATCTGTCTAGCCAAGGTTCAGCGAACTATGGCCCAAGTGCTAAATCTAGCCTGCCTCTTGTTTTTGTCCAACCTGTGAGCTAAGAATGGTTCTTATATTTCCAAACATAATAAAACTTTATTTTAAAGAACATAAAAAACATGTTTAGCTCGCAAAAGCTAAAACAGGCAGAAGGACAGATTGGGCTCACTAGTCATAGTTTGCTGATTTAGACTTAAGAAAGTACTAATAATGCAAATTTACCCTATCTAGACTTAAGAAAATTTTAATAATGCAAATCAAACTTAAAAGTGTGTGTGCATATGTATTTTTTCCCAGAAAATTCAGTTATTGAATATTTACTAGAACAACCCTCCTCTCCATCTCACTCCATAAATGTTTCTTGAGATCAGCAAAAAGGCAGAAGAAGGCTCAGGAAATGAAATCATTATTAAGATTTGCAGTGTTCTACCTTCGTCATCTTGGTTGAATGTCATAACACTTCCACTGGGATGGAATGACTTGTCAAATCTTGTCAATTCTACCACCATCAAACTCTCTCACCTGTCCTCTTAACTCTACCTCTCTAGTTCTGGCTCTCATCCCTTTTCGCCTGGACTGCTGAAGATTAGTCATTTCTACCAACTCTCTGGCTCTTTCTGGAGCTCTGTGCAAAGTTGTTCACCTCATGTTTAAAAGAGAATAATGTCTTTCCCTGAACATTAATACGTGATGTCAATGACGAGCAGGTATGAGCAAGTCTAGCCTCCGGCCTCAATCACTGACTGGGAATGAACCAGATTCTTTAATTTTTCCAGTCCTCTTATGTCAGGACCATGCAAACCAACCCCACTCTCCATTGGCCAGTTGGCCATTTGTGTGTATGTATAGAACACATATTAAAAATTTGCTCAGTAAGGAAAATACCACTGACACTTGGCTCCTTTGTCCAGTTTCTTTAGCTTCTCATTTCTCATCTCACCTTGGACTGGCCCTACAAAACGCCCCCTCCCTTCTGTGGTTCTCTGGTTCCTTCAAGGCTCAGCTCAAATCCCACCTTCTAAAGGATACTTTTCCTGGTTTCCCCAGCTACTAATGCCTTCCCCCAGCTACTAATGCCTTCCCCCTCAGCAGTGACCACCAATTATTTACATATTATCTTACTTATTAGAATATAAACCCCTTGAGGGCAGGGACTTATTTTTTAATCTTTTTTTGTATCCCCAGTGCTTAGCACAGGGCCAGTGTCTGGCACAAAATAAGTGCTTAATAAATGTTATTAGTCATTTACAAAGGCTGTTAGAAATGTAAACCAATCAGCAGCCATTAAGTTCCTACTACATGCCAGGCATGATGCTAAATGCTCAAGATAGAAGGAAGAGGTAAAAAACAGTCTCTGCCCCCAAGGAGCTTACAGTCTAATGGGACAGACAACATGCAAACAACTATGTATTAATAAGAGATATATATGTATATAGATAGATAGATGGTATATTATATATGTATATATATGTGTGTAAATAACATATACATACAGGTATGTGTATATACATATGTACATATATGCAGGCACACATACATGTATACACATATGTATATGAGTGTGTGGATTCGTGTGTGTGCATGTATGTGTATAGATACATGCATATACACATACACATACATGCCTTTATATTTATTTATTTATATGCAAAATTGGAAATAGCCTCAGAAGGAAAGTACTAGGATTAAGGAAGACTTGGATATGGTTCTTGCTTAAGGTGAGTGTAGTTTACCTGCGACTCGAAAGAAACCAGAAAAGCTGGAAGACGAAGATCAGGAAGTTGAGAGCTATAGACACGAGGATCAATTACAGAAAATGCCCAAATTCAGGAGCTGTAATCGGCAAGGAAGAACTACGTGCTCGTGACCCCAAACAAGATTCATGGACTTACTTGACATTCTTCAGTATTTCTTTCTTAATGATCTTCCGGCAGCCTATGAAACCAGTCTTCACTTTCACTTGGTAGCAGATGTTATGAAAACTCAACACGGTTGTTGAGGGCTGCTTCTCTGTTCCTGTGGACATCCCTGAGGCGCTCTCACTTGGGCCATTGATGTTTGTTTGGGACATTGGGACTATGACTTGAACCTCAACTGCTGACATTTTGCAGTCTTTGTCTCTCTCTATAATGAAAAGAAAAGAGAAAGTTATGCCATCGATAAGATCATGATCTCATCAAAAGCTACCAATTAAAAGTACCAAAAATGAGATAAAGTAAAATTTCACTTTAGTGAAGGAGACCTATTTTCAGTCAATCAACTTACTATACCTCTTCAAAACGTAAGTGACCATATAAAGCACAGCCATTTAGGCAATTAAAAGCAAAGAGTTATAATCAGTTCTAAGATTTTATCTAATAGGAAATAGCAGATAATAGTAATTGGCCTTGCACCAGACTATAAGAAGTGGCTGCAATTAATCAATCTCTGTTCTGCTGAGGAAATAGGAAGGTTTGGGGGATCTACAAGGCTACAGCTTTTTGCTTTCACTGACAAATATGTTTTTATTTTGTCTTCTTGTATCCACAGGGGGGAAAATAGATTAGCTAATACTAACAATCTATTCTACAACACTTTGAGAGGCAAGGTGGTTTAGTGGGAAAAACATAATCAATGTGGAGTCAAAGTCCTAGGTTCAATTCAGAACTTTGCCAATTACTAACTCGGTGACCTTGAACAATTCATTTAATTTCTCTCTAAATTAGTTTCTTCACATGCAAAATGATAGGGCCGGATCTCCAAGGTCTCATCCAGCTCTCATCTATCTATCATCTTCTGACCTTCATACCTCAATCCCTTAATGAGGGTTAAGGAGGAATCTCAATGCAAAAAAGCAGAATAGAAGCTCAGCGGGGATCAGAAGGCCTTCCTGAGGTCTGAGCTTGCACCAATCACCTAACCTCTTAGAGTATCCATTTCATTTTCCGTAAAATGGAAAAAAACAACCCCAACCTCAAAGGATTATTTAGAGGAAAAATAATGTGAAAACTCTCGAGTACATAAATAGGAATCACTATGATAGTCCACCTGAAAGAAGGGAGATGTATGCTGCCTTTTGGACCACGTGTCTAAAATGCGGCAGACTCGCCGAGCAATGTCAATTTGGAAAAACACGGCCCTATCTGTTGATCTCATGTGGTTAAGAATCAGGGGATACAAAAACAAAAGTGAAACAAACCCCACATTTACATTCCATCCAGAGACACCATGTATACACAGAAGTAGGTCAATATTTACAAGTAATTAGGGAATTTTCAAAGTAATTCTAAGAAGCGGAAATGAAAAGGGAACATTGTAAGCACAGGCGGCAGCCTTTGCAATGTTTTAGGAGATCGAATAGTGTGTATGAGAAACAGCAATGGTTGGAAAGATAGCCAAGTCAAAAAGGACTTCATAGGCCAAAAAGAAGAGCGTATATGTGATCCTGAAGGCAACAGGAAGCCACTATAACTTCTTGACATGGTCAGACCTGGGCTTTAGGATTATCAGACTGTCGGAGGTTTGGAGGGAAGATTACAGAGGCTTGAGTCAAGGAGAACAATCTGAATGCTATTTCAATCATCTAGGGCAGAGGTGATAACAGCCCTATAATCCAGGGCAGAGGTGATAAATGCCTTATTTCAATGATCCAGAGGAGAAGTGATAAGTACAGGAACTAGGGTGGTGGCTGTGTAAGTGGAGAGAAAGGGACAAAAGGGAGAGGTGTCCTGGGGATAGAACTGGCAAGAATGATACAGAAAAAAAAAACTATGAAGAAGTTCTATGTGTTATGAAATCCTGAAAAATTGGGAGCACATTTGGTATTTTCAAAATTACTTCCAACCAAAACATAAGCACTCAATGGCTGGGGAAGTTGCTGGGAAAAAACATAGTAAATGAAGATTAGCAATTTTACCATTTAAATTTAAATTTTAATTATGAAATTAATTTAATTTTAATTTAATTAAAATTTTAAATTTACATAATTTTAATTATGATTTTAATATAATTTACAATTTAGATTTTATGATTTAACTGAGGAACCACAGAAATACCGAATATCAAAAATTCATGAAAACATGGGGATGCATGTAAGGAATGGTTTGGAACAAATAAAGCGCAACCAAACATACACACAATGATGCCTATGCCATATGTGGATAGTGATGTGAAAGGCAAAGCTCAGGTGAAATACAAAGGACCATATGGGCACCATATCATTAAGGACAAGAGCAAACAGATCCCAAGGACAGAGTACGATACAAAAAGAGGCAAAAGACAGTACCTACCCTCAAGGAATTCACAATCTAGCTGAGAAAGTAGCCTGGAAGAATGGACAAACAAAAACCCTGTGGTAATGAGCTACAATAGTAGCAGGGATGTTCAAAACATAAATGAAGAAAAGAATGACTCCAAACCATCTACAAACACAGCCTCAGAGAAAAACAGAGCTTGGACACAAACTCAACTAGAATTACCAGAAGAAATGAAGCAAGATTATTTTTTAGGAGTGTAAAAATGTTTTTATAAATTAAATGAGAACTCTTGAGGAAGAAAAATTGGAAAGAAATGAGAACTCTACAAGAAAGAATTAGGAAGGAAATTGATAGTTTGGAACAAAAGGTACAAAACCTTGCCCAAGCAACATGTTACCAGAAAATCAGAATGGACTAAATTGGAGCTGATGACTCTTATGAGACAATTAATATTAAAACAAAGTCAAAAAAGAATCATTAGAGAAGCTAAAAGCCATGACCAAAAAAAAAAGAGCCTAGACATCCTACTTCAAGATGTCAAAAAAAGAAAAGCCCAGATCTCTTAGAACTAGAGGGAAAAGTAGAAATAAAAAGACTCTACTATTCACCTCTGAAAGAAACACCAAAGTGAAAACTCCCAGGCACTTCATAATCAAAATCCAAAGCTGCCAAGTCAAAGAAAAAAATATTGAAAGCAACCAGAAAGAATTCAAGTGCCTAGAAGCCACAATCAGAATCACACAAAATTTATCAACCACCTCTATAAAGAAGCAGAGAACTTGGAATACAATATTCTAGAAGGCAAAGGATATGGGCTTACAACTAAAAATAACAACCAGAAAAACTAAGTATAAGGATACAGGAGAAAAAAAATGGACCCTTACTGAAATAGAGGACTTCTAAATATTCCTGATGAAAAGACAAGAGTTGTACAGAAACTCTGAAATTCAAATAAAAAAGTTAAGGGAAATATAAAATGGTAAGCATGAATGAACAAAGATAAATGAATAAACAAGGATAAATAATAAAATAAACAAGGATTACATTCTAATACAGGGAGATGATGATACATGTGACTCTGTGCCCAATCATCATCAGGGGTCAGAGAGGGAATTTAATTAGACAAAGTCCTGGGTGTGGCTCTGTTACCTCTTACTCTGACGAGAAGTGGGGAAAAGGTAGCGGGCAAGGGTGGGAGAGGGGGAGACTGAAGAATGTTGGGGAAAATTATCTCATATAATTAGGATTTACAAGCAGACATCTATACAAATATGGAGATGGGTGTGTGTGGCAGGGAGAGGGGGTTAGGGGAAATAGCTCACATTGCAACCTGACTCTCATTCTCATCTGAACTAGTTAAAGGAAGAATATACATACATATATACTCACAATTGAGTATAGAAAAACTGAAGGGAAGAGGAGGAGAGAGGAGTAATTAGAGGGAGAGTACATTAAGGGAGGGATTAGACCTAAGCAAAATAAACTGTAAGGATGTACAAAAATATTTGCAGCTCTTTTGGAGGTGACAAAGAATGGGAATCTGAGGGTCTGTCCATAAATTGGGGAACATGAAAAAATTACAGTATATAAATGTGATAGAACACTACTGTGTCGTAAGAAATGGTAAAGGGAGTTTCTGAGAAGAAAATTATTGAGATTGCAAAATAAGGCAAATTTTGGGGGGAGGAAAACATTGTCAATTTGAATTTTTAAAAATTAACTGAATTTTTGTAACAGGGTTTGTTTTTCTTTAGTTCTTAAGTGGGGTGAGGGGGGAGAATGAGAAATAAAATGCAGATTTCTGCTTATTGAAAAAAAATTTTAAGAGGGATTAAATAGTGTTAAGAAAATTATTTGCAAAAGTTAAGAACTATTGTCATTTGACAAAATGTTAACAAAATGACCAAACTGTTCATAGTACTTTCACTTGTTTTTTTTTTTTCTGTGAATGTCTTTTGTTTGGGAATATTACAAAATTTTAAGCCCTACTTACTTGCGTCCAAGATTTCCAAAGTCATGGGGCAACTGTCCTTTTGGATTTCACTCTCTCAAAGTAATGACAAATAAATAGAATAATTTAATTAATGAATTTAGTTCTGGCAGATTTGTTCCAAAAATGCAGATTATTGAATGGTTCTTCCACAAGTGCTTTGTAATTTTTCTAGAGCAATCCAGTTGCTCTCCTCCTCCTGTTCCACTCTAAACCTAACTCATCATCCATCTGTACTGTCTGTCCCATAGCTACATTACATGTGTGTATGTACATACACATAGGTGTACATATATGTATATATACACATATACAAATATATACATATATACCCACATACTTTATATGTGTATATATATTATACACACATACTTTATGTGTGCATGTATGTGTGTGTATATGTATATATCTATGAATGACTAAGTTGTCTCTTTTTTTATTTATTTCAATCACAGCCACTGCTTGAAAGAACTTCATTATTTTCAGATGGAGCTCACAGCCCACTTGAGTCTCTGAGATCTATCTCCTTCTACCCTGATTCTCTCTACCTCTTGAAACAAAATAGTGTATTTTTTCTACTTCTTGACAATCTGCCAAAGATCTCAAGCTCTCTTCCCGATAAAATCTTTCACTTTCAACTCTTTAATTCAATCCAAGAGTTGAGGAGTAGATCAGACATCGGGGATACATAAACCAGGAAAAATGGGAAAGATCCCTGTATACAAAGTAAATGCAAGGTCATTTCAGGAGGGAGGCCTATATCTCACAGGCTAATCTTTGAGATACAAAAAAAAGCCTCCTGAAGATGCTGCTAGACCTGTGTTTGTAACAAAAGCCAACAGACGCTGAGCTGAGATGCTAAGAGATACGTACATACGTGTGAAGGCAAGGAGATAAGA